GCCAATAACTGAATACAGCTTCAGATCAATGAAATCCAAAAACTTTTTGAGCCAGTTTTTATAAAAAATTTTTACTGATACACATATGCATGCATTGGATTACAAACATTATATAAGATCGAATACAGGGAAAACAAATGAATGTTGAAAATTTTTATTTCCCTGTTGACGTTTCACTCCTTTCCTTGCAAGCATTATAAAAACATTTACAGCAATTAGGAAGAAAAGTTGTTACCATGGCAACTCTGCAAATTAAAATTGCTGTGGACAATTTAAAAAAATTTAACAATTAATAAAATTTAAATTCAAACAAATCAATGAGATTTGTACTTTATATACTTTGTTCAGCTATTTCATATCAATCAACTATCATATATATATATATATATATATATGTGTGTGTATATATATATATATACATATATATATATATATATAGTTATGAAGAAATATAGTCTTAAGGAGGGCTATATTTATGGGATAAAGTGCTCAATATCAGAGATAGAGCGTGTGTAAATATAAAAGTGAATATAGAAGTCAACACTTAGAGGCAACAGTCTGTTTCATGCTATATGCAATCGTCAGGCCACGTGTGCTGTTATTTTTCTCAGCTATTTATATATATATATATATATATATATATATATATATATATATATATATATATATACGGGTGAGTGGTGCATTGTGGGTAGTCTATTATGGCAGTTATTTTACCGGAAGTCGTTTATTTATTTATTTGGGTTAAATTATTTTGCTTGTTTTTATTTATTTTTATTTTTTGTTTCTTATTTTATTTATTTATTTATTTTTTATTTTTTTATTTTTTTAATCGGTGTTTTTATTAACGTAGTAAAAAATTGTTTATATCACTTATTTAATAGTTTTGTTTTGGTTTGAGAATTTAATTAAAGCTATTTGTTCGGTTTTGGGGTTGATTGTTGTAGTTTATTCTGACTATTATTTTGGCAGGAACAGTTTTTAATTTGTGTTTATTTGGGTTGATTATCTTTATTTGTTTTTTCTAACAGTAACAAAATAAATAAAAATAAAAATATATATAAAAATATAAAAATAAATAATTTAACCCAAATAAATAAATAAATAAACGACTTCAAAATAGACTACCCACAATGCACCACTGACCCGTATATATATAAATAGCCAAGAAAAATAACAGCACACGCGGCCTGATGATTGCATATAGCATGAAACAGACTGTCGCCTCTAAGTGTTGACTTCTATGTTCACTTTTATATATATATATATATATATATAGGCAGCATATCTTCATTCAAATATGTTTCACTGAATAAAATAGACATATTATGTCTATTTATTTTTATAATAATCCTGTCTAGTTCTCTAATCAATTTTTGATGTTAAGATGAAATTCATCAAGGAAGGTACCATAGTTTTTTCTTACCCAAGTACTTTCGATCTCCTCCAAGATCATCCTCAGGGGTGAATTACAAAGACAAACTTATTGTAAATGTGATCATTGTGATGGTGATTTTTAAAAACATGTGTGAATGGACTCTGTTATAATTATTTTCAAATTTAAATTTATCTGTTGTAGCTATGGAATTTTTTAGCAAAACTCATGTTCTAATGTAAGTAAGTGAGCTAATCAGAAAAGTATGTATGATAAAAATTGGCAGAAATTCATTTAGCATTAGTAGTTCTTGGGATGTATCATTGATTTCCTAGAAAAATTTCTTTTTTGCAGGTTTGCAAAGATTTAAGAAGTTGAAATAGATGATTTGCATGATGTCTTTCTGGAATGTTTCCACTGTAAGATGTGTCATAGTCTAGTTTACAAAACCCAGAAAGTAAAGCAGTAGAGGGAGAACATGTGTATTACAGATCTTAACTTTGACCTCAATCATCTAACAATTCTAGAAGTACAGAATCCATTTTTCATTACAGGTCACATGATAACTGAAAAAATGCCCCATTTCTGTTGCACAATAGAAATGCACAACAAATTATAGGGAGACAAATTTGTTTATATTTTGTTCCAAATGTTTCAAAAAATGATTTACTTCCTGTTGGTGTGCTTCAGTTAGTTGTTATCAGTAGACGAATGACGTCACTAATATCTCAAGGTTTGACTCCATTACACAGTTTCTTCTTCCTACTGATGTGCTGCTTTATATTAGATTTTCAACACTTTATATAAAATCTCTTACAGTTCACTTTTAGTTATCTTTACAGTGACAACAACAATAAACAGACAAAGCAAAACAATTTGAATAAATCAAAGAGGGAAATTGGTGCTTTAAAATGCTAGATTAACATGGATTTAGATGATTCCAAAATAAACTTGAAAATTTAAGATAAACCAACTTAGAAATAATATTATTGATAAGATTTAATTATTAGAACCAGTATTTTTCCATCTTTATTTCCACTAGTAATATTAGTAGTTACATTATCTTAAATTTTATGATTATTATTAGATGAAGCCTTGTTAATTGTTATTTATTATTCACTAGTATTTCTTTCATCTTTATTTCAATTGCTTTATTTCCACTAGTCATATTATTAGTAATATTATCTGGAATTTTGATATTCTGCCAGCCATAAAACTCTCATTGCACAAATGGTAAAGCATCCATTTTGCTATAGACAAGCTTTAAGTTCCAGTTTTGTCTGGAACCTATTTCCAATCTTTGCTGATGGCCATCGACTGATGGTTTTGAGTTATTTGGGGCCAAGATAACTAAAATTAAAATATAATAAAGTCTAGTCAATAATGGATGCTATTTATTTCTTAGTATCGAACAGCAAGTCTTGTTTAATGTTTGAATCACAAAGTAGTTACACAAGATTAGACAATCTATCCTTCACTAAATATAAGACTGTGTCAATGGACTTATCTGAACTTGGGAAACATTCTCACAAGTATCCAAACTAATGGGTGAAAATCAATTTGAAATAGAAGAGAGAAGTGTCTGTTAAAATAGTAATGTCATAAAGATAAAAAAGAGTGTTTTCTTTTGATTTGCAATAGCTTTTAGCATTTTCTTTTTCCAACTGACTAAACATGTAATGTAAGTAATATTTGGTGGTTGTGATGTCCAACTGAGCAGCCATGATGCTGAAGAAGAAGAAGTTGGCACTGACGGGACTTGAAAAGAACAGAGAATTATAGCAAACCTTCTGATAATAATGAAAAGAATAATAAAAAAAAAGAGTCATTAAAAAGACTTTTTATTTGTGTCTGATGCTTCTTCTTCATATTGAAATATGGAGGTGAGTGTTGAAAATCAAAAGAAAAAAAAACGAAATTTTATTTGTAACCTGATAAAATTGCAATCAGTTGCAGACTTTTGGAATGAATTGGAACTTTGGAAACAAACCAAGAATCTATTGATTTCCTTCTGTTAATCATCATTTCAAAAGACTAAAACATAGCCACGCTTTCTTCTATAAATAGTTACATAATCAAGGGGGATAATCTGCAAAGAATGTCACCACTTGTGGACATAATTCACATTCTATGTGAATTATATAAATGATAGAAAATATAATAAATATGCTTTTGTATCATTCAATGTATTTCCATTGAAATCCGTGGATCAGTTCTTAATGCGGGGTGTAGGAACACAATTTTTAATTTCTTTTTTGCTTCATTGATGTGTCTATCTCAATTTTATTTTATTGTTTAATCTCCATATTCATCTGTTTATATCTACCTTGGTGGAATTCCATTGCATTACCATGTTGGCAGCCATGTTGAATAAGTCTAATTAATATCTGCATGCCTATGAAATAATAAAAAAATTCTGGTCTTGTACATCTGTATCTAATCTTGAAGTAGCTGAAAGAGTTTATTACATTGAAATAAATTAGAGGTTGAATTAGGGTACCCCTAAAAGTAGTAAAAAAAGACTAAATTGTAAGAAAACAGAAAAAGATAAACAGTCCAAGATGCAAGCTACTGTAGCAGTATTATGCTTTTGGTAGCCAAAGGTAAAATCTTAAATAATATTCAACTAAATATACATGTTCAAGCTGCTCCTATTAATGTCAAAAGCCATAAAAGGCAGATTTGGAAAAAAAAAGAGAGAAAAGGAAATCTTGCAAAACTGGATACAACCAGCAAATCAAACTTAATGATTTAGTGTGACATAGAAAACAGTTTATAACAAATACATAATAAACAAAGAAGTATACAGATGATATACAGATGCAACATAAAATGACCATACCTGAAATGTACAATTGTGACTTATTTTTTAAGATGATGAAATAGTTGATGTAATAGAGACATTAACACATGAATCTATTTACAAGAGAAACTGATGAGAAAAGAACCAAACTTCATGTCCAATATCCAGAGGGAGGAAAAAAAAACAAAAAAAAAAAACGGCTTTGCTGCTTCTTTTTATATGCTTCTGCAATAAATTCTTATTGGTTCTGCAGGAGCCGACATATCTATTTTTGCTCACAGCAATAAGCATGACAGGCCAATTTTTATTTCTGCTAAAATCCATACTACAAATTGGAGATGATAAAATCAAACAAATAAAACAATTTAAATATCAGTGAAGTTTTTTGACAGGAAATGTGACATCAAAATCTAAAGACATATTGGAATTGTAAAAGATTCCTTTCCCAAAACTAAGCAAAGTCTCATTACAATTAAAAAAATGCTCATTTCTGTTACACAGCAGAAAAAAATTGTTAGAAATAAAAAACAGTGATGAACTACTATATATATATATATATATATATATATATATATATATATATATAGGTAAAGAATCCATAGGTAAGTAATCCAAGTAGATCCTATTAATATAAAATATTAAAACTGATCCACCAAAGAGAGCTCAATATAATTTTTATTATAGAGCCTATAAGTTAACTATTATAATTAACAAGATTCAAATGATTTACCTCATACAGATACTCATTTTGTCCATGGGAAAGTAGTTTTTCCCTAGACTTATCAATGCAAATACATTTACTAAAATGAATAAAATGTTTCTTCACAGGAAATTTGAAAGGCAAAGGTAGGAAAGAAGGGAAAAAGAAAAAGGAAAGAATAAAAGGAGAGGGAGTAAGAAGTGGCCTATAATAGAGGAGGAGGGAGTTTTATAGATAAAGACGGTTAAGGGACCTAAGGTGGTTGTGGTGGAGTCGGGTACAGATAAAGGTGATGGTTGAAAATGGACACTGGCATAAATATAACCTATCAACACCTGTGTAAAGGAAAAGAATGAACAAAAATGGCTATGAAACTTTTTAGTGAGGAGCTTAAAGTTATTGTAGAATGGAAGTAAGAATTTAAAATTAATACTTTTATAAAAAGATGTTAATATTAATCCATTCAATACTTAATCTTTAACTATATAGTAAAAGTTATAGTAAAAAAATTTAATTGAATTATTTATATATTAATTTTATTTAAATATAACCAATCTCATTATATCAATGTAATATTAATTAATGTTCAAATACTAAGTTTATAATTTAAATTATATCATACTTATACTAATTATTTAAAAATTCTGTAAAGGATTGAATTTAGATTCACTATATAAAAAAAATTTAGTATTATAAAAACAATTTTTTTATTTTTATATGGAAATTTTTTTTCTATTGTGACATCTTCCCTATATGTAAAATTTTTTTGAGATGTGGAATTTTTTTCTATATCTAAATATTTCTCTCCCTATACATTTTCTCTTTTTATATGTGGAATTTTTTCTATATTTAATTGTTTTTATAATACTAAATTTTTTTTACCACTATTAATTTCCTATAGTTACTGTTATTGTTCATCTGCCTGTGTGTGTGTTAAAACTCTGCTCATATCATTTCTATCTCCTGTCCTTGAGTGAAATTGGGAGCCATTGGTGATTGTGCTAGCATGAAATCACGAGTCATCATAACCAAGGAGTTGACCTTGTTTATCATGATAGATAACGTACACTCTCCCAGAAACTATAAGGTCTGTAATTGGATGAATTTGTAATACAGAAATGTTGAATTTTGGTTGGTGTTCCTGCATTTATTTAATGTGAATAGCATATTTTGGTTCACCTAAAAAGTTCTTAATTCAAGCAAGTGCAACTATTTAAATATCTCACAATATGTGTTTTAACAGAGGATGGAAAGTGCCACACCAGAATCTGAAGATGCATTAGTTAAAGATGCCTTCAAAAAGCTAAGCAAAGTATTAAGAAACAGGAAAATTTCATTAGAAACAAGGAAACTTATGTAGTAGTGATTCTCCTATATAGCAATGAATACTGGACACTGATGAAGAAAATATTTGAAAACAACAGAAATGTGGTTCGACAGAAGGATGCTGAGAAAACCATGAACTGAACATGTGAGCATGTTTTAGAGAAAATGAAAATAAAAGGACATACTTAACATCAGAAAGGGGCAGTTGAAATTTCTAGGGCATATAATGAGGAAAGAGAACTTGGAAAATTTGACACTTACAGGACATATTGAAGACAAGAGGAACTGAGGAAAACAGGGTATAACTTACCTAGCAAGCTTGTGTAAATGGATGGCAGAACAAGGTTTAGGAGAGACAGCAAAAAGACAAAAATTTACTAAGAGCTACAAATGACAGGAAATTGTGAGTAGCCATGATTGTTCATGTTCTGAAGGGACACAGCACAACAAGAAAAAAAAATTCTTGTGATAAGAGGAGTGAATTTTCTAAAAAATTTTTCAAGGTAAGCACGCATGAAAATAAATCATTTATGTTATGTGGAGTTAGAAGTTCTAAGGAATGACACTTAAGCAAGACTTGTAAACTTTTACAAAAATAAATATAACTCAAAGTCACATGGATGAGAAAAATGATGAATATAGAAAAAATGGGCAAATGATGTGAGTTGTTTCACAAATAAGACCGGATATAAGCTATGAAACATGCACCTGAACAATACATCAAAGCACTCAATTGTTAAAATGTCACAGGAAGCAAACAAAGCCTTAAGAAAACTGACATTTCCTAACTTAGGCAACTTTAAAATTATGAAGGTTCTTGCATATTCTGATGCTACATATGCCAATCTAGAAAACATGTTTTCCCAGAATGGTATGATCATTTTTTATTCAAGATGAGACAAGAAAGTGGCACCAATCAGGTGGCAATCTAAAAGGTTGAAGAAGGTAACCAAAAGTCTATTGGCATCAGAGATTTTAGCATTGAGTGAGGCAGCAGACACTGGATTTTTAATTGCTTCTTTGGTACAAGAGATTTTTGGAGTGAAGATATTGCCCTCAATTCAATGCTATACAGACAATGCATCACTAATAAATGTTTCACAGCAGCAGATTACCACATCAGTAGAAGACTTCCTGTTCTCATCTATTCGAAACCACCTTCCAAGCTCTGAATCCATTAAATGTCTTTGTCTGATATAAGAGAATTATATCAGTCCACAAAGCCATCCATGTCAGGTGAGGAGCCGGAGGATTCAAAACCTTATTTGGAGTATTGTTACATAATAGTTTCAGACAATTATTTTTTAGTGGCAGTGTATTTAGCTCAGATCTTCTGAGGCTGACATTGGGGTCAGCTGGTAGATAAAATAGGGATGTCAATTTTGATTGGCTGAGCCGAATGTGGGAATATTAGAAAGTGTTTTCAGTGAGTTAAGTTTTTCATGTCAAAAACATCAGACATGGTTATTTCATGTCTCAGGGAACATGCTCCCCAGTGGTGGTAATAGAGTGACCCCACTGGCTAGTTAGAAATATACACGTTGACGTGTTTAATAAAATAGACAAGTTTAAAAATCCCTGTTGATGAAGTTCTCATTTTACCTTTGAATCCAAAAACTAACGATCAATCATCTGGAAGATGACAGAAAGAAGAAAGCAACATATGAGTGAATCAAGACTGTTGCATGAAGGGGCTATGCAACATAGTCTCAATCTGGTGCCATTGACCAGCTCCTTCCAACAAGGAAGAGACACAGAATGAGGGTTACAGCACAACATGGAAAAGTTTGGAGAAGATTTTTGATAGCGGTCTCTAAAAATAGGAAAAATGAAGGGAATTTGAAAAGAAAAAGTAGTTTAGACATATTGGATAGTCTGTAAGTAAGATGATATTATTTTGTTCTACTGCCACATGTACACACCCACAATATGCATGCACACATAGACATGCACACATACAGGCACACATATCTAAGCAACAAACCAAAATAAGAAGTAATGATAAAAATGAAGAAAAGGCATTTTTTTGATGGACTGACAATAGAACAAACAGGGAAAAGAAAGAAAGAAAGGATAATGGACATTGAACTCACACATACACACAGATGTGACAATGTCAATTTTCAAGAAATGATTTAGTAAGAGACTGATTTTATTTTTTTTGTCTGTTTACAAAAGCTTAGACAATGTGTGAAAATTTATTGTTTGATTTTGATTGACACGTTACACGTGCATCCAAATGTTATATGTCTGGCAACCTTTTGACTATGTGGAGGCTTGAATTTGCATATGCAATGCAATGGAAAGTGGTTTTGAAAAAGAAAATACTGATGGCATTTTGTAATAGAACATTCCCACTGCAATTTCTGTCGACTGCTAATGAGTTAAAAATTTTTGTGACAATTTTTTTGTGTGCATTCAAATGTTTTAAGTTTAAAATTATTTTGTTAATTGTAATTAACTGACAAATGATTATTTTATTCATTTTTGTAACAGTGTGGAATTTTTTCATTTTTTATTTTAATAGCAGTGTGTGTCCTTTTGCCTTCCTTGGTTGGTTTTAGTGAATTTTGAGAATTAATTTTTTGTGGCAAAAGTAAGTTACCTAATTGTTGTGGGAATTAGTAAGTTTGGCTTGCATGGTTTCAGATTTCTGATTGTGTTTGGGTCTGCGTCCTGAGGTGGAAATAGTCACATCTAGCTATGCAGTTAGGAATCTGATGATTTATGGGGAGTAGAATGGGGGCCTGTGCACCATGAATTATTTATATCGAATAAATATAAACTAACATGCCCCTGGGGCCAAGTTTTGGGGCACTGATGACCTAGTGGAATTGGTCAGGTGACTTGTGGGATGCCAAGTTGCAATAGCAACTAATGGATGAGAAGCCCTTGTAAACATGGTAGAGCCAGCAATGGATTATTTAGATGCTGAGTGGGTATGTCCAAGTGCAGGAGGAGATAGATATGGTATGAGTTGAGTTTTAACACACACAGGCAGATGAGCAATAACAGTAACTATTGGAAATTAATGGTGGTAAAAATTATGAAGATCTGTTCAAGTGAATCTGGTAAAATGCAAGTAAAAAAGCAATTAATTGGTTGTTTGAATAAATAGTGTGATAATAAATCAAGTGTGCTGTGTCATTGTGAGTGGGAAAGGAGTGTAGATCATGGAAAGGACATGGCTCAGTTATGGAATAATTTGATGCTTTGGCATGAGGCCTTTGGCATGTATTGTCTGTTTTTTTGGACCAGTATTTGTTTTTCAATGAATTGTATATAAATTTTGTATAGTTTCAAGTAAAGAGGCAAGGAATTTTGTTGTCCCCAGGAATATTGGATTGCAGAGGTCGTACTTATTGACTTGGGTGGAGAAGATATTGGAGAGGTCAAAGTTCACTGTTGGAGTGACTTGTATCCAGACTGGCATCTGAGGCATTGACCTTGGGTCACAGAAGCTAGTGACCAAGAATGGACAAAGGATTGTCCGGTATTCTGTTTTTTGGTTAAAAAAATTTGTAAAGCGTGAAAAATTGGTCAGAATTTTGTTGTTTATGTTCCTTCTTTTTTCAGGATTTGTTTATGTGCATGCTGGATGTTATGGTGTAGGGTTAGGACCAAGGAAGAACAACACGAACACAAGAGTAAAAATAACGAAGGTATATTACACAAAATAATAATACAAGATGTGGAAGGTGTTAGTATGACTGTCAGTCTGGTTTGGAGTGAACTACTATCAGCTTGATTTAATTCGTCCCTCTCTTGAGTGGTGTAGTATACATAGTGTTAGGAAGAGTTCATTCTGTAGTTATAGGACCCATGACACTGGAATGGTCTTGTGACTGAGGCCCAATGGAATAAATTTGTAAGGAGCACACTTCGCATATACAAAATTATAGAGGGTATTTTAGAGTAAATACTTGAAATAAAATTCATAAATGAATTTTTTTTGATGGTTAAGTAGGGAATGTTAAATAATAGTTTTAGACTATTATT